TGCTGCTGCTGCTGCTGCCGCCACCGCGGCAGCTGCTGTTGTCGTCGTCGTCGTTCTTGTTGTGGTTGTTGCTGTTGCGGTTGTGGTGGTGGCGGTGGTGGCGGTGGTGGTTGTTGTTGTTGTTGTTGGTCGTTGCGGTCGTTGCGGTCGTTGGCGTCGTCGTTTTCGGTGTTGAGCTTGTTGTCGTCGTTGTTGTCGTGGTCGTTGTCGTTGTCGTTGTCGATGTCGTTGTTCATGTCGTCGTTGTTGTCGTCGTCGTCGTCATCGTGGTTGTCTTTGTTGTCTTTGTTGTTGTTGTTGTTGTTGTTGTTGTTGTTGTTGTGATTGCCGTTGGGGTCGTGGTGGTCGTCGTTGTTGTCGTTGTAGTGGATGATGTGGCTGATTGACGACGAAGACGACGATGTGGTTGATGATGATGATGATGATGANNGATGACGATGACGATGACGATAGTGACGATGCGTTTCTGTGCGTGTTGATGAAGATCGCGGGAGGTACGACTCTTGGACAGGGCCTGCAGCAAACACAACCTCGTGACAGCATAACCACCAAGACCAACGAAGCAAGCTGCTGATGCAGTTTGATACTTCTGGAATCGAAGACTGAAGCTGCCAACCCATTGTTTTTGAAGCATGGTGGCCTCCTCTCCCTCGCAGGCCCGCAAGCAGGCCCATCCCTCAGTGGCCTGGGTCTGGATCTGCATTACCCCCGTCAGGGTGTTGGGGCCCGGGGCAACCACGTTCGGAGAGCGAAGCCGAGCTGTCCATCATGCCTCTTGCGGTCGTGCTTCGTTTGGGCACAAGCTTACAGCAGAGTAGAGGTTCAAGCACGGGCTTCTCTACAGACCGACTTTTTTGGAATGCAGTGTTCCACTGCTGCGCAGGAAGCTTTGACAAGTTGGTGACATCATTCGCGTGTAGCCCTTTAAGGCAATCCAGAAGCGGCGTGCTGTTTGGTCAAAACCTCCTGAGGAGGTCCAAAACAATCCGTCCGTTTCGATTCGGGTCTAAGTCCGGGCCTTGGGAGTTGTCGGGTTGTGCTTCAGGAGACAGGGGTTATGCGAATGCTCGGGGGGGGGGGGTTCTGCCGCTTGGGGTAAATCTGGATGATGGCTGAAGTTAGTTTAGATTTTTTAGAAGCTGTGGCGTAGAAGTCTTGCACAGTTCGAAAGAGATGAGCGAGCCCTTTCATTGGGCACATGATGCCCACTGGTCAGGGGGTTCAAGCCTCTGAGATTCAAACCCAGCGCATCTTCGTAATACAGCATTGCCGCCAGCAGCAGGATGAACGGTCGCTGCATCGAAGACCCTGGCCCCAGTTTCCAACACCTCCACACATTCAGCACAGTGCCCGGAAACTGTACCGACGACGGCCATGAAGTTGAATGGAACTCCTTGTCCGCCCATACTATGTCCTGGTGACCTTGATTTTTCCTGCCGCGCTATACGGTCATCTGGATGTCCACAGGCATGAACTCGAGCAGCAAACTCGGGTTCGCACGGTGGTTCGATGCTGTCCTAAGCCTCTGCTGTCTGCAAGACCAATTTTGGGCCTAGCTGTGCGCGGCAGGACGAAGGAGAAGAGCCCAGCCGCGAGCTAATTAAAAAACTGCATGCAGGGAGCCCAGCACCGGCTGTCGACGCGGGGGTTGATCTCGCATGATGTTCGCGGTCTGGGTGGTTTTGTGCTCAAAAGGCCTTTCTTCTGAGGTGGATTGACAGATTGGTGGGTGTGCTTAAGTGCTTAAACCCATGCTCAGGACGTGCTCTTCAAGGATGCTCAATCTGGCGGCTATGGAATCGAGCAGAAGGACCCTCATGATCACATGACAGGGGTGTCAAGGCAGGTAATCAGGCGAAACTACCTTATGTTGTGTTGCAGAGGTCTCTTGCTTGGGTATTCCTGGGTGGGTCTCATTCTTGATCTGGTTGCCTCCGTTTGAACTTGCAACATGCATGCAATGCCATCCTGGTGGTTTCAGGACCTTGCTCAGAAGGACTTTCCGGCCAAGTTGAAATTTATGAGCAGACTTGATTTGACCAACTGTCCTTCTAGATTGTTCTGTCGCGCTGTCGCAAACATTTCACATCGAGGTAGAGCTGAGGCCGTGTTCGATCGGCCGTGAGCCGCATCAATTACAAATGAGGCCTTTTAAATGCCACAATGAGAGCTTTCCAGCGACTACGCTGACATGTAGCTAAATCGAAAAGGTGAGGGAACATGTCTGAAGAGTTGATGGTAGAGCTTGCTTAAAGTTGGGATCGGAGCGGATCATGACCACGGTCAGAAGTGTGGCATGGTGCTTCAAAGAAGGGCATTCGTGTGGACGCGGCAGGTGCAGGGTTTCGAGACGCTCCGAATGCCTGTGAAGCTGCCGAAGGAGCTCCATCCGTACATTTCGCCATTGGTTGGATCCGTCACAGCAAGAGCTAAGCCAGGCGCCCGATACAACTGCAGGACTGTGAGGTTCGAAGAGTGCGGCTGCCTGGGCCGGGCTCTCATTGTTGGCCCGTCTGTACCAGAGATCAATGATCCAGAGGTATAAGGTACAGGTGTTTTTTTCGAGCATTTTCACCAACTTCGGAGTTCACATGATGGGTCAGACAATGGGTGCGCTGACTGGTGATCGGAGCATGGGGCTTGCAGCCTGTCGGAGCAGATGTAGCAGCAAGTTCTGTGGCTGCAACTCGCACCGCGCTTGATTGCTTTACACCGAACAGCGTTCCAAATGGAGTGTACCTGGTAAAACCCACCAAGTTGCGTCCTGTCTTAGATGCTTTCCGGGGCTGCTCTGTTTGCATTCTGACTTGTTTCGGAATTGCTTGGAAGCTCCTGTCCGTTTGCAGGTGGAAGCATAGCCTCGCTAGCGTGAGCTCTTGGTCGAGAGGGTTGGGATTGAAAATGACACTGGAGTAAGGTCTTAGAGTGATGACAGTTTCCGTTGAGGGTTTAGATCGGAGTTTGTGTGCTGGAAGAGTAAGAGGAGCTTCTCTGCTTGCACGGATCTGCATGGGGCTTTGTTCGGACTTCTCTTTCCCACTAGGCGTGGCATCGGATCCGGGTGGACATACACACTGTCGGGCAAGGAGCGCCGAAGCGATGCTTTTTGCTGTAGTTACCATTGTCCCTGTGCTGAGTGCCCCTGCAAAAAATAAATGTCGGTAGTACAGGGGCTACGTAGTCTCTGTGGCGATGGTTGTCGTCGTTCGCCGACAGTGACAGACACGTGCTCAACAACCGATCGTCTGACCACACCACTGTGAGTAGTCGGCAGAGAGCAGGAATCCGTGTCACACTGCAAGTAGGTGATGCGGGGAGAAATCATACGTAATTTGAAAAGCGACGGCTTCAGGTCACCCTCAAGCGTTTGTCGGTTACCACGGGCTGTCAAAGTTCGGCAGAGTCAGGAGCTTGTGTAGAGGTTTTGCACTCGTGCACGTACTACCAAAAGTTGTCTGGTCTTGCCCGAGTCCCGGCTAAAGCTTCTTGGATGTTTCTCCAATCTTTTTTGCCAGTACATCTACCTGTGAAGTGCTGGCCCTTAGCTGTGGTATCGTCAGGAACGGCTGAAGGCGGCCTCCAACTTCAGCTTCTCGGCAAGCTGTTATGTTATGAATCACTGGCGGCTCGACGAAGACAGGCTTTCGCATGCAGGTTCAGGCCATGGCATGAACCAATGAACCAGTCAGCAGATATTGGCGCAGTTTGGCCGTCAGCCTTTTGCGAGCGATTTCGACCAGCTGCTGCGTTTGCCAAATCAAAGAGCCTTAGCCATGCATGCCCGTAAGAATTCTGGCGCCGGTTCCTGAATGACTGCTTCTTTTCTTCACACGAAGTCTGCAGTTTCTGAGCGTGCGCCCTATCGAGACCTCGACTGCAAGACGCGCTTGATTGAGATCCGAGCGAGCAAGAGCGACTGGCAGAAGGTGTTGCAACTCTCTGTGGCGTATGCAGACGATGCGCATACCATGCAGGCCTGGCTTGGGGCCTCAGAGAGCAGGATCAACAGCTCATATTCTCATAGCACCCCCAAGGTCGCCAGCTCGGCCGGCATTGCCTCCCTAGGGAAGTGCAGTCGCTGGCAGCCTGCGCTGGAGCTCCTCGCATTCTTGAAAGCCTGCCAAATCCTTCCGAACGTGGTCACCTACTCCGCCGTTGCTTGTTTGACAATGAATGCTGCGGACCTACTTGTAATTATAATAAGTTCTAGACTAGATCTTGTCAGTTGCAAAGTTTCGCAGCATCTGTAGGCAATCAATGCATGCGCACGTGTGGGCATCTGGCGGAAAGCCTGCGCCTTGCTTGGCGAGATGGACTCTTGGAATGTGCAGACCAACATCATCACCTACAATGCAACCGTTTGTGCCCATGACAGGACGAGCAATCTCTCATCAGACCATGTCGTAGTCAAAACCGACAGGCACACACTGTCATCCTTCCCGGCATGGCAAGAGAGCATCACGAAACGCAGGACGGTGGATTGGAGCCGCGCAGAGGCCTTGCTCGAGCATCTCCAGAGGCTCGCACTGGAGGCAGAGGTTGCAGCTCCGGCTGACATGGGGCACTTGTTCACTGTGGACGGCCTTGTAAGTCAGAGGGCTCGTCGAAGCTTACACCGAACTTAACAGCAGGCGAACTAGTTAGGCAGTTAGGAGTTATTTGCTGGCCATGTGCATGTTGAACGTGCTGGTGCACCCGAGGTTACTTTCAACTCTGCCATGAACATGTGCGAGAAGAGCGGCAGTTGGCAGCGCGTCACGATGTTGCTGCACAGCTTATCTCAGTCCGTGAGAGCAAATGTGGTGACGCGGAACACGGCGATTTGTGCATGTAGGCACCGCGGTGCCTGGCAAGAGGCTTGGTCTTCGTTGTCTCAGGGCGCGTTAGCGTCCGACCTGATCGGCTTCAATGCGGCCATTGATGGCAGCCAGCTTACAGGAAACTGGCGACAAGCCAAGGCACATGGGTCGTGGAAAAGCATATTAAGATATTAAGCCATGAACACCGACACCGCAAGACTAGGTTGTAGCAATCACATGTTTCGGAGTGTTCGTATAAGCAACGCTACCAGGTACTGCTGCAAGCTCTCAGGCATGAAGGCCTGCGAGGAGATGTGATCTCCTACAGCTCAATGGTCGGTTCCTTCGAAAAGACGGGTAACTGGGAAGGTTGCTGCCTCGTCCTGCAAACGATGCACCTGACGCACCTGCCATGCGATGCAACGATGCAAAACTCCATAATTAATGTCTTTCAAGAGAGAGGCCGATGGGGACAGGCGCAGCTATTTCTGCACCAGAGTGGTTTGGCCAGTGTTCGTGCTGACGTGATCTCTTTCAATGGGCTGATCCAGGCTGTGAAATACCATGCGCACTGGGTCACATCGCAGCGCTTGCTGGGGCTACTTCCGAAGCACACATTGACAGCTGACGTGATTAGCTATAGTTCTGCCATACAGGCCTGTGAAGGATTGGGCGAATGGGAGCAAGCGAGATCTTTGCTCGGTGAACTTGAGGCCCGGCAACTCCGTGCAGATGGCATGGTCTACAGCGCAGCCATGCGCGTATTTGCAGAGGTTGGTCATTGGTTCATGGCCCTGCACATGTTGAAAAAGCTAGAGAAGGGGAACATGGAGTCCGATGTCGTTTGTTTTAACACCGTGCTAGCAGCCGGCGACCTGCCTGTGATGCAGGCCCGCAAGATTTTGAAGACCTTAGAAGCTGAGAGGTTGCAACCCAACATCAAAACCTACAACTACATGATCAACCTTCTCCTTCGAGCAGGAGACTGGCAGCAGTCCTTGTCACTGCTTCCTGAGATGCTATCCAATGCAGTTCAACCAGATGGGATTACTCGAAGCTTCATCGCGGAGGCGTGGATGGAAGCTTCAGACTGGGCGCAGGCCGTCCAGTCTTTGGATCTGGTCGCTGAAAGTAGTCAACAAGACGTGGCTCGCTTGAGCTTGCAAGTGCTGCCTTCGCTGAGAAAGACGTTCCGCAGAGTACTTGCGCGCTTGCCAGCTAGTGCAGCCCATGCGCCATGCACGGCGGCGCGGGGGAGTAATTTGGCCGCCAAAATCGGGCCTCCCGAGAATTCAAGTCGCCTTGGTTGGATTTGAGAAGTCTGGCGTACTCAATGCGATGTTTGGTTTTCCCTGCAGGCTCCGTGCCCCCTCCATGAGTTTCTCGGAACCTGTGATCAGCCAAGGCTGCAATCCCAAGTTGCTAAAACAGCCGGGCACTCAGGGGGGAGGTTCGACGTCGCGAAAACTTGCAAGACAATCAAGGAAGCTGGGGTGCACGGGACACCCGTCAAAGACATCCGCAGACATCCTGATGCAGATTGTGGGGTACGGTGGGGCTAAGATGTTACCACGGTACTTCTTCCGGCTAATCTCCCGAATCAGTCGGGCCGACAACTGTGCACAGCCAAGCGTGACACTGTGAAACCGTGGCCAAGGCCTCTCCTCGTTGAGACCGACAGGGCCACCGCCTTTATTCTGATACGTCCATGCCGGCAGAGTGCATTCACCGCACGCTTGGACTGTGGCTACCCAGTTTCCGCAGAAGAACGTCGCCCCCAAAGAAGAAGTTCAGGAGGACCCCTGCACCTGCAGTCGTTTGCAGAGTTGTCACTGATGTGCCACTAGTTCCCTCGCTTCGGAGTTTGCAGGTTGTTGAGGAGCCCGTGCCGGTGCCGCCGGAGTCCCGCAAGCAGACGCGCATCTTGACGCTGCAAGGATTGTCCTCTTACTAGTCCGTCTCGCTTGGTTTCTGCCTTCTTCAGGATGTCAGACTGCCGATCACCAACATGTTGTTGAAAACCTAAGACCTAAGATATTGTTCGAAACAGTTGAGTGATGACTCTTGCTACAAAAGCACTTGTTTTAAGTGTTTTGGAGAAGGATCAGAAGAGGATGACTGGCGGAGCCCCGATGCCAGGACAGCCGTAACCGCAGCTGCAGCTGCAGAGTGTGATTCCTTTGGTGCCCTGCCGCCGGCTGCCAAGCAGGAACAAGCGGAAGGAAAGAAGCGAGGCACGGGGCACTGCTTTTGGAGTTTGAGGTGCCGCTTCACGGCCCAGGGCCATGATTGTACTAGTAGGTCGTGAAGGAGGAGTTAGCCTCAATAAGTGATTCCCGCGCTGTCGGCCAGGTGCATGAGATCGCTTCTACTGCCAACACGCCGCGAGAAAGACGTCCTCGCAAATGGCAGAGGAGTGGAACTGCAGTTTTTTGCATAATTAGAATACGGTTTTGGGGCCCATTATAATAAAGGAGCCCCAAAAACAACATAGTATTTATTTAGGCATAGTGGCTCAACCCCCTTCATGCCCAAGATTTGGCCAGAATATTTGAGTCCAAGGCACCCGAATCACCAGAAAGTTCAAGGAAGAATCGCCCAGATCAGCTTATGCCAGGCAAGTGTTGCAGTGGTTTTCGGAAGAGAGCTTCTGTGCCAGGATTACGAGGAGCGATCGGACGGCCTACTATCTGGACGTAGACACCGGTGAGGTGCCAGCATAGCCTGGGAAGTTTGTGGTCGAAGAGCACTCGTCGAAATATGGGCGCTCGCAGATGTGCGATGACATGCCGGCGGACTACAAGGCGCGCGCGCGCGCGCGCTCCAATCCGCGGACACAGCTGTCGCCACTCACGTCCGGTTGATGGGAGGAGCAGCCACCTGTTTGGGAGCGCCGCGTTTCCAGATCCAATTCAGGCCACGCAGGGAGCTAGTTGGAAGGAACGCTGGCAAGCCACGCAGTGTGAAGCTTGTACGAAGTTGCATGCGAAATGTCTTTTGCTTCTCTGATTGCGCGAGATCATGTCTTCTACTACAACACAGACACAGGCCTGTCACTGGGCTGTCAAGTTGGCACAGCTCGTCACCCTTCTTGGCTGCAGGGGAGACGCGCGTCGAACGTCCCGAGGGCGTCAAAATTAAGAATGATGCTGAGGCTCTTCCTGTGCCGAAACCGGTTGATCATCACAGGTGCTTCTGGCTCTTCATGCATACTGGGGGGTTGCGTTTAGTCGTACCGCCCCGTGTGAAGTCATAGCTTTGCGGGTGCACACTGGGGGGAAGCCCTGCTGAACAAGTCCCGGCAATCTGTATGGAGATACTTTAATGGACTTGATGTTGTATGTTTGCGCGTGCACATGGTCCTAATGACTTCATGATACCGTGATTCGGATACGGAAACCTTCAAAATCAAGTACTACGCCACTACGATCACAACGTCTGAAACCTCATCCTTAACTTTGACAAACACCAGGCCCGAGCGTCTACATGGGGAATGGCTGGTTTTGATATGTTGTCATGCCACTTCTGTCTCGAGTTGGTGCGTGCGAAACCCAGCGTCTACATGGGGAGTGGCTGGTTTTGATATGTTGTGATACCATTTGTGTCTCGAGGGTGCTTGTGGAATCGAGTGTCTTCACGGGGAATGCCCGGTTTTGATGTCATGTGTTGTGATAATTGCCGCAGATGTGTGTCTCGAACGGGTGCTTGTCTATATCGGAGTTAATCACGGGGCTGTGTTGATTATAGGTCCAGCTCATCCAAACCAGTCTAGGTCACACTGTTTGGCACTGGCTACACACGCACACACACACACATACACATACAGAGGACAGAGAGTCAGAGACACACCTACATGGGGAATGGTTGGTTTGAGCATGCTATGACTGGGTTGCGCACTGCCAAAAGTCGTAGCAATCCCGCGTCACCTTGCGGAAACGTGTTGGCGACCCATATAATTCACCACTGTGATAACATCTTGCTGGCTTGTTCGTGCAGCGTCACACGGGGGTTTCGTATTTTCGTGCTAGCCGATTGTTCCATGCGTCTACATGGGGACAGGCTGCTTTTGATGTGTTGTGCTGATCTGTGTCTCGAGTTGTTGACTCATGTTGACTCACTGATGTGTTTCTCGAGCTAATGCTGGCAAAAACGAGCGTCTACACGGGGAATGGCTGGTTTTGATTTGCTGCGAGGCCACTGCTGTGTTTCTTGACCGAGTGCTTGCGAGATCGAGCGTCTATTTGGGGAATCGCTGGTTTGATCTGCTGCGAGGCCACTGATGTGTTTCTTGAGCTGGTGCTTGCCAACTCGAGCGCCTACATGGGGAATGGCTGGTTTTGAGTTGCTGCGAGACATGGATGGGGAATGGCTGTTTGTCTTGAGGTGGGGGCTTTGAAAACGAGGTTGTGCATGGGGAATGGCTGGTTGTCCTGCGTTGTGATGCTAATGATGTGTTTCTTGAGCGGGTGCTTCGGAGATCGAGCGCCTAGAGTTGGGGAATAGCTACCGCTGTTTGTGTTGAGCGGGTGCCTCTAAAAACGTTCTCTACATGGGGAACGGCTGGTCTTCCTCGTCTTCGTGCGCTATGATGCCAATGATGTGTGTCTTGAGCGGGCGCTTTTTACGTGTCTGAAAGCGCGTGCGCATGATGATTGGTTGCCGAACTGGCAGACTTTTCATGGCTTCTGGACATAATTTCCTAAGACAGCCGGCGTGCGGCACTCGAAATCCTAAGTTGACGTCTGTGCCAGGAATGTGCTAGGAAGCGCGTGGCCATGAGGAAAGCGATGTGCAGCTCTGCTTGTGGTGTGACTTCAAGCGTCGTGGTGTAACTTGGAACCTGTCGCATCATGCGTCAAGCAATCCCTAGAGTCTATGGGTGCCATTCCGGTTGCAAGTTGCAGACGCCCAGAATGGACGCGGAGGTGTGGCTCTTCTGGCCGCCCATGCACGGATGACATCAGATAAATGGAACGGTTGCATTTATCGCTGGCTGCCAAAAAGTGCTCTTCGTGTGATCCATATAGATGGGATGGCTGCTAGACGATAGGGATTACACATTCCCGGGTGACCATGCGGTGTCGCGACTTCACGCGCCCTGGGGCGACATAAAGTCTTGCCAACCATTCCCAATACTTCTCATCGAGAGCCTAAGCCAGGCGCGATCCGCCGGCGCCACAGCCCCATCCTCCAGGCCAGCCGAGAAGGACGGCAACACGGGACGGGACCTTTGCCAAAGCTGTATTGCATGAGCGAGGTACTCGTAGTTGAGCTAAACAGCGAAGTGCTTCGAAGGACGAGGAAGGCATTCCATGGCAGCGTCTCGAGTCCAAGTCATGCCGGCGAAGCTTTAGGCTTTAGGTGCGGTTGCTTTACGTTGTAGCATCTGGGATTTGCAAGTGTGGGATCCCGATTTGCCAGGTCGAAGCCAGGCCTCTTCTACTATTTCAACCCGCTGGACGGCGCGCAGGAGGCTCCGACAAAGCTCCAGTGAGTAGAGCACGCCCGGATCTCGAATGTCCATGGCTTCTCTCCGGAATTTGTGCTTTGTTTATGCGGTGCTTCCATCAGGGTCGTTTAAAATCTGCTGAAGCCTACTGACCAGGTTTGTGACGCTCCTAATTCTTTGTTTCTCTGCGACGGGATATGGGGAGCTTGCAGATCAAGCCGCCGGTCGTCAAAGCTCCGTGGCAGCTCTGCCGGTCCAGCTCGATGTCAGGCCGCAGCCTGGGAAACTTGACGCCAAAGCCTGTACATGAATGTGGAGCGAGTGGGGCTGTGTCTCACCAGTCCGCAAACCGGTTGCACCGCAACAATTGGCAGGTCAGTACTACTATTTCAACCAGGCCTGCCCGACCGCTTGAATGTTTTCTGATGCATCCAGGTCGACAAAAACCAAGAGCTTGCAAGCACAAAGTGGCGTGTCGATGGCCGCCACTTACACTGAATTTGTGCGTCTGGTGCTACTTACGACTATTTTAGCATGTTGTCACGGACTGCAAAAAACGCGAACCTGGGAGGGACGTCTTTCTGCGAGCAACATAGCTGGACAGTCAGCCTCAAGTTGGCGTCAAGATATCTCAAGCGATAGGACGGCATTCCACAAATTGCAAGTTGCCTTTGCGACAGCTTGTGAAAGCTCTACGAAAGCATCTTTGGGTTCTGCAATCGTGAACTTCGGGAAATCGTGTTGAGGTGATGTCAAATGTTGTCAGATGCTAGCATGGAGCCAGAAAAGCATTGCCCAAACTGTGCTTCTGCTGATTCCCTTCACGCCCTTCTCACAAGCTGCTTCCGCAACAACTTTAAGAATGATTACTTGTGCCCAGGCAGTTGCCAGATCCTGAACAGAAATTCAGTTTACTTCGAACATCCCCACCCTACAGATAATGCATTTGGGGGCCACACCACTGACTGGCTTTCAGGTGCGGGGTCCCCGGTCACATAACAAAACAGAAGTGTTCGATTCAGGTCATTCGACGATGGGGTCACACCACTGACTGGCGTTACGGTCGTGCGGTCCCCGTACACGTAACGAAACACGTGTTCGATTCAGGCCGGTGGACGATCCATCATGGGATCACACCAGTGACCGGCGTTGCGGACGTGGGGTCTGTGTACAAGGAGCAGAGCACGAGTGTTCGATTCAGGTCATTCCACGATCCATGGGGTCACACCACTGACTGGCGTTAGTCGTCCCCGTACACGTAACGAAACACGTGTTCGATTCAGGCCGGTGGACGATCCATCATGGGATCACACCAGTGACCGGCGTTGCGGACGCGGGGTCTGTGTACACGGAGCAGAGCACGAGTGTTCGATTCAGGCCATTCGACGATCCACGGGGGCACACCACTGACTGGCGTTACGGTCGTGGGGTCCCCGTACACGTAACAACACGCGACTGTTCGATTCAGGACGACCCATGCATGGGGTCCCCGTACACGTACCAAAGCACGTGTTCGATTCAGGTCAGTCGACGATCCATGGGGGCACACCACAGACTGGCGTTAAAGTCGTGGGGTCCTGCGTTGGGCACTCCAGTGAGTCTCGCGGTAGTGTCTGGGGGTGGGAATTCCAGGCGATCTCTGGAGGTAGTCTCAGCGAGCGAGGAGCGGACGAGGAGCGGGCGGGAGTAATAGCCACACCGACGGTGGGGAAAAGCAAGCCGCTGATAAACCGAATCGGCCTACGTTGCTGGTATTTGGGCTCCTCCTTACCAAGGCCGTTTCGGAGGGAAAAAAACCAAGATCAAATAACTGCTGGATGTGCCTGGAAAGGTTACCGGCGAAAACACAGAGATACCCCCACGATGCGCCCTGCCTAACAAGGCACGGTGCTTCTAGCCAGGGCGTGTTCCAGACTTCTGGTGTGAACCATGTTGAGGTCGCACATCGCGGGAGGGAAAGGAACAGGATTCATCTCATCGCTTCAGAGTTCATAATGAAGCTGTGGGCCCTTGCGTTGCTAGCTGACTCCAAGCAGTTTGTCTTGTGGCCGCGTGAAGATCTTTTATCAGCCATTGGTGGAGGCCATGCCTGGTCAACTGAGTCAACCTTCGCCTGCGAGGCGCAAGAAGCTGGCACAAGACTACGTACAATGAATCCATGAAGTGCTGGAACATAAGCCAAAGCTTGATTTGTTCTCTGGATTGTGCACTTATCCCTGTGCATGGGTTCAGAGAGCTTCTGTGTGTGGGTGATGGTGCCAAGGTAGGCTCCTCATTCTGAGGAAAAGAGACAATCTGTGGCATGTTTGTCCGATACCCTGCGCCCCTGCACCATGCTTCCGACCTGCCAATGTCCTTTTCCTGTGGCAGGTCTACAGCTTCGGACTTGGCCTCAGTTCTCGCCCCATGTACCCGAGAGGATGCATTGAGACGGAGCTGACTCAAGGAATCGGCAACTTTGCTTCTGAAGCTCTTATGACAAGCTGCTGGGTGATGGTCATGGCGATTCTGCTATAAAATGTACAATGTACAGAGTAGCAGGAATCCCAGGTCTACATTCATGCTGTTGGGTTTGTCCAGGGATAGCACCGTCATACCATGTAGTGACATCGTGTTCAGAACGAGCGCCTATCATCCTGATTAGTCAGCGGACCCACTAGGTCGAAATCCATATCCGATTGCCCTTTGCTCATCTGCGGATTGAGGCCCCCATGGAAAGCTCTCCAGCTGGCAGGTGGCCACATCGGGCGAGTGGTTCCACCTGACAATTTCAGCCCGAATAAACTCCCTGACATCGGTGTTGACATAATGGGGTGCATTCATGTTCGTCGGCGAAGCAACAGCCTAACGCCACACGGCGCCTGAGAGGCCGGGTGCTCTTGCAAGGCCCAGCTCGAAGCCGAAGGCCACCAGCCAGGCCTTGTCGTGCACGGGTCTTTGCTTGGGCTAAGACTCGGCGAAATTCGGTGCGTCAGGATGACGACCCGCTCCCGGAGGGTTGGGAGCGTGTTCCATCTACGCAGTACCCGGACAAGCTGGCGCCTCGGTGTTCTTGTAGCGACACCACCAGCATGTGATTCCTTTGCCAGGTGCTACTACAGAAGAATCGGCAAAGACGGCAAAGAGGCTCTTTCTCGCTCTGCAGCCCGATGCTTGTCCTCTGACTCGAAGTGCAGGAGACGCAGTGGGAGCGACCCACACCGGAGTGGGAGAGAAAAGCTTCCTGGCCGCATGGTGGGGTCAGCTTGCGTTGAGACTGCCGGAGCCACTATCACCGCTATGATTAAACCGTAACTATGAGACAGGATCTCAGGCTCTGGGGATTTTCGTGCTGTAGCACCCCTGGCTACTGAAGTGTCTCTGCTTTAGAAGCGACCTCTGAGCACAGCCGTATTCTGTTGATGCTGACACTTGAGGCATCGACAACCAGACGCGGCGCATGCCTTACCAATGCTTGCAGATGTCTGGGCTGAGAGCATTCAGCCTGAGAGATCCAAGCAGTTTCGGTGGCAGAATGTGATTTGCAGCCTGGAAAGCCGCAGCACGCAGGCAAGTTTTACTGGTACAACGCGCGCACCAACGAGACTGTTTGGGACGAGGCATGCTTGCATGAAGTTCTCACGCAAGTCCAGTTGATAGCTGCCGGCATGGGGGCAGAAGTTGCACGGGCTGTCGTGGATTGCAGTCATCCTGCGTGTGCATTGTCGGCACCTGGCGTCGTTTCGCCGAAACACATGAGTGCTGATCTGCGAGCGAGAGTGTTGCAGGCAAGCAGTCTTTGCAATGTTTGCAATGCAGCTCAGCCTTCGTAGTTTTGACGCATGCTGTGCCAGGGTTGTTTTGCGGCATTTGGGCCAGCTCTTTCGGTGCAGACTCGTAATCGCTTCCCCTAACATGAAACCCCCCAATATGAAAACCTCCCGGCCCCGGCAATTCGCAGTTTCGGGCCCACAATTGAAAGTTTATGAAAAAAGCGTTAGGGGGGCCTAGGATTGTATTAGTTTTGTAATAGAGCCAAGATTACAGCAGTACTAATCAAACCGGAAGGACCGGAGCTTTAGGGTTTAGGAGCTTAGGGCTTGGGCCTTCAGGTTTAGGGGCTTAGGGCTTGCGGCTCAAGGTTTAGGGCTTAGGGCTTTAGGGTTTAAGGCTCAGGGCTTAAGGCTGCGGGTTCAGGGCTTAGGGTTTAGGGCTCAGGGCTTTGGGCTTGGGGCTTGGGGCTTGACGCTTAGGGATTAGGGCTTTAGTAAAGGCTCAAGATAGAGGGAGGCTCCATCCGAATCTGCTTTGCACAGGTGTGCGCCGTTGCAAGCTGTGGGTTCAGAGTTTAGAGGGTGCTTGAGTCCGCTCCCTCCATGTCGTCAGGGCTGAAACTGCTGAAGCAGAGCTGAACGCGGATTCCGTTTGGCGGGTTAGTGCTCCTCATGGCCGTGTGCTGTGGTAGCACAGACTGTCGAAATTCCTTTGAATCACCTGACAGCACAAGCCAAGTTTGAAGCTGTGGAGCGAGGTCACGCCGTAAAGCCGTACTCAGCTTTGCCATCCTTGCTGTTGCTTGATTCTGTCCGGGTGCTTGTGCAAGCTGTCGCGTGCTTGTCAGTCTTTTGTGTAGAGGCTGGGAGCAAAAAGGGAGCGGATTGTATTTTGCCACTGTAGAACAAGGAATTCGAACTTGAAGTTGCTGGCGAGCTTGGTCGGCTGTCCGTTTCTGGGGCGTTCTGAGCTCAAGTGCATCTATGTCAACTGTGTTCTTTGTCGTCACGTGTCGACGCCACGTGAACATTCAACCACGGCATTCGGCTGAATCCTCCTGGGATTGTATGCCTTGTGAACAGAACCTCAGGGTTCAAACCTTGCATGACCGAATGACTGCTGACTCCGGGTTTGTCCGGTAGGCGTGAGAGAATCTACGAAACTTGCCCACGAGCACAAACAAATAGGTCTGCAGTCATATCGTGAGACGCAATGAATTGTGACTGGTGCACGCTGTACACGGTTTGTTCATGTTTGTTCTGTCTCCACATGGCCCTGTACGGAATCGCTCAATCAACTGAGTGGGGTTGCTTAGCGATGCTATTCGTCTGTGTCGTGCTGTCTTGCAGGAAGTCTCAAGTGCAGCCAGGACGAGTCGTGTTTCCAGATGTCAAATAACTTAAGCCCACCCATGGGCCCTATAGTAGTTCCTTTTTAGGTTGTATTTAGAATCCCGTAAGGGAATCCCAAAAAAGGAACTTCTATGGAGCCTATGGGCAAGCTGTGCTTCTGTATACGAATGTCCTTGGCTCAAGCCCGGGCCCGGCGGGGTGCCTGGGAACCGAACCTCCTTAAGAGCGATTCTGCTGGGCTCTTGGAATTTGTTCATTTGAAATTGGGCTTTCCGAATTCCTTGACACGGTATGCTCAATGCATCGCCAAGGCCATGATTGATGGCAGATGCCGCTCGGCCTTGTTGCTATGGTCTCTTGTAGCCTTCCCAAGTCTCTACCTGTAGCTCGCAGCCCCGTCACTTCTCCTGGCTCAGCACCCACTCTGCCAGCTCCTGCGTGCTCCAATCTGAGTCTGTCGACCTGAGATGCCTCGGTTCGCAGTGTCTCGATCGCTGCTAAGCCTGATCATGTGTCAATATCTCTGCCAAGAGAATTTGCCATAGTGTCAGCGGCAGTGCAGTGGAGAGCTATACCAGCATGAGGGCTACGAGAACCGGATTTTCAACCCAAAGCACCAAGCAGCTGGGCCGTTAGGTCGCAGCTTCTGCGCCTGACCGATGATCCAGTGGTTCCTTCGCGTGGCAGGAGTGGGTCGCCTCCCCTCAGGTGTGGTGTCGCGACAACTCCTGGCAAATAAAGTCTCGTCTCTGCATGGCATAATTTGCAGGATGCTTCTGCTGCCTGCAGTTAGCCTCTGGCGCGGGCGCAGAGGATGAAGCCTGGACATGCAGACAAATCTTGAGTTTCGCTGATGAAGAATCTGATGCGCTGCTTGTGCGCTACTGCTCAGCTAATCTCGTCGCGTCAGCCAGAAGAATTCACATTCTTCGAGCTGTAGGGGGCAATTAAGCAGCAAAGTATTCTCAAGTTTCTGCTTTAGTGTACCGGCAATTGATCCCTGTTTCTTGCCGAGGATGTCTGCTCGGCGATGCAAACGCGTCGAGGCGATCCCAGCACAGAGCGAAAGCAACTTGGTCCGAGAGTGGAGTTCCTTGCCAGCCTCGGATACTCCGGCGCTTGTGCTGCTGTCAGCACGCTGAAGCCGAGCGCCAAGGAACCAACCGGTGCAGACAGCCATCAACGCAGAAGCGCTGGACAGGTGCCCAGTACCCAGACCCAGGGTATCCTTAGGACAATCGAAACGGCCGGAGATCGAGTTTACATGTGGCTTTTCCTCAGACTGCTCTTTAGCTCGAGCTCCCCAAAGCAATTGCCAATCAAGCCAGGCTGGTCGCAAGGGCGAACAACAGTGAGGCATTCAGCGAGACGACCTTCAGCGAGGAGGGAAACCAAAGTGTAGTTCTCGATCACGCCTGGGACTTATTGTCGGATGGATCCAGTTATCTGCGTTGAATCTGTCGACGTTCCAGCGATTTGATGAAGACAACCTGGCATTTGGCAGTCACTTTGGCCTGCAACTGCGGCAGCTTCACTGTCAAATGTCAGGGCCAAACATGTACTTTTTGGAGCTGCAGGCAGCAGTATGAGTTGGGAGCCATATCTCATGAGGTTCATAACGTGAAGGACTGGTTCAACAGTCGACCGTTCCAGACTTAGCTTCCACCCGGATGCCGTGGCACTGAGACGCCAGGAGCATTGCACGAAGTGGCCGAATGTGTCCTTGTCAGGCCCGAGGTCCAAGTCCTCATGAAAGCGGTGCTACTCGGCTCTGTGAGACTCTGCCCAAGACTTGTCAACCTGTCTCCGTGTTGCATGGCAAAGTCATGTTAAGTGACGTCTGGCCTCTCCCGGACAATGGCCGCAGGTGTATTTCTTTGGCTACTGCTGCGAGCTTGGGTCAAGTTCTCAGATCTCGGGTGGACTGCCATGCTCAGTTTTCACGGCATGGTTCGATGGAAGTCGCTATCAAGTTCGCCAACGCAATACCTAATTTCCAAAAGAGGCGTTGCGCGCGCTGTGGTTCCGTTTGCTTTGCCCTTTCCGGTTGGCGGCCAATGCGTTGCCCGGTTGGCATGGCAAGTCCACTTAACCCTTTCCGAGTCTTGAAGCCTTCCTGGCTCCAAGACGGAAAAGACTTGGAACATGCTTGTATACTTGTTCTCGACCACAACAAAGCGCAAACAGGGATGCTTATCTATATCAGCATCAGCTGACACCTGGCTCAAACGTCTGCTTTAGTACTGTAGCCTACAAGCTAGCAATGCAAGGCCAGTGTGGACTGCTTGTACAGCTCTGGCGAGTGTCGTGTAAAAGGCTGGCACGTGCGCCAAGCCACGCTGCCTGCCTATTTTGCACTTCAACTTGCCCGGTAAAAGCGTGGCCATGTGTTTGTCAAGCCTGAATCCATGTGCACAAGACATCAACTCGGAGTTACACTTCGACCTCGCTTCGGGCCATCCCGGGCCCGCAACGGCAAAGCCTGGATGCCAGACGATATGAAGAAAAGCAAACCCTGGGTCCGGAACATAGGCTGTTTCCCCAATCCGACCGGCCACGGGTCGTATGCCCTGAAAGCTAATCCGCCTTGCTCCCGAGAACAGCACAGTTTTCGTAAGTGCAGGCACCGAAAAAGTCACAGTGGAACGAGAACAGGATGTGATTTGGAAAGGGGGGTGGTTTATCACGCCGTGGCACATGCAGATGGGTGTGGACAAGCGCACCTCCGCGTTGGTGGAAAACTCCAATGCATTTTAGCCACGGGAAAAGATGTGGTGAGCTTTGACTTGAGATATCAATTTTTACGAGGGCCTCCTCCCAATTGCTGAACAGCATCAACGTCGGTGGGACAGAAGTGGTTGATGAGTATCATGCTTGTGCATTCAATACCGTGTCGAAGGCCTTCTGTGCCTGTGGTGCGGCATTGCTCCTTGCATGCAAGCGGAGATGCCAGCAACTCTGTCTCTGAGAGTTCACCATTGTTGCGACGGTGCTTGCTGGCATTCCAAGTTGAGATTTCACTCGCCAAGTACCGACCTCAGCTTGGGCGGGTCGTTGCTCCACCATGCTGGCAAGACTGTTTGACCTGCGTGGTCGGAGTGAGAAGGTGTCATTGTGACCTTTCACACAGCGAAACCTGGCACCGTGAATCGGCATGGTTGGATTTCTGCCAGGCAAGTACATCTCCTGGAAGTCTCTTGCAGAGATGGAGGCAACATATGCAACATCGGACGAGAACACGTCCTCAAGTGCTCCGACGGAGATTCGACCGCTGCCGCCAGGCTGGGGGAGGATGCCTCTCGATCCCCCTGAACATGTTCTTGACCCTGGCGTCACCTCCCCAGTCCGGGCTGTTCGGTTTAGAAGCGAGGGCAAAGTTGGCCCTCTGGAACGCTAGGAACTCTAGGAATGCTAGATCGCTTGAGGATTTCAGATGGTTGCACAACGGCAGAGGAGGCGGAAACCATGGCAGCTGACTAGGTGAAGGAAGCACTTCTTCAAGGAGCCACTTCACTACACGCCACAATGAACGTTATGCAGTCATGCAGAGAAACGGCGCGACAAAGACCGGAACAGTAGCCCAGGTTCAAACACTCTCTCAAGCAGATTTCGTACTGCAAGAATTTGACCAAGGCTTCCCAGCTGGGGTGACTATGATCACCAGTAGGTGGTGTATCTTTGCCGGCGATTCAGTGAACAGCTCCGTCCCAAGGAGTGTACCAGCTAGCATCATGCACCTCAATGCCGAGACACGCCGCTCAATGGGCGTGAGGAACTCAGAGCATTCACCATGAGACAGATCTTCGGTATTCTCGTTTAAGCAGCCTTGGATTGCAATGCCAGAGGGGCCTTAGAGAGAGCCTGCGCTGCTCGGAATAGCAGGTGTGAAGGTGTTGGGGAAGTCGCTGATGCTGCTCACAAGCCAGCTCGTGTAACCTAAACAACCGACATCTGCCTGAGATGCCAATGCTTCTTGAAATTCGAGCTACCAAGCTCCGGAGAGCAAAAGCAATGGAGCTGTGATCTAAGGTTAACGATCGTAGCTTTGATATGCAGTTGCCCGGAGAAAGGCCATTCTGGTCTTCTTTGCCATCTTATTCGCCATCATGTGGAAAGGGGATTTGATCCAGCCGGCAAGGACCCTGGCCTCGCACCATGCTTCCCGTAGTCAGGTCTGTAGGGCAGGATGGAGAATGTAAGCTCTTGCACAGAGCATGTTGCATACACAAGACACCAAGCGAAATACCATATGAGTCATATGAGCAAACAATATTGCAACGAACTGCTATAGCTCCTCGTGTTGGGTGCGAGCTTGCACAACTTCTGATCGGATCCATTCTGTGGTCGAAGTAGGTGTAGGGAGTCAGCTGCACCGTTATCGACTCATAGCTGCCCCAACTTTACTGCCCTTTGTCCCGCGAACCCCGAGCCTGCTCTCCGGCAAAGCCCAGGTCATCAAGGAGCTGGCATCTTACCTCTATGTCTTTGCGCTGGTAGGCGCCGTGTGCGTCGTTGTCCTGATCGACCTCTGGCGCCGCGTGGGAACCTCAAAGAGAGGGGGCACCGGAGACAATCTAGGGGTCCCAGTGGTTGTTGTATGTGGTGGCGTCGTTCTTCGCCGTCGTTGTTGTCGCTTGCTGCGGCTGATGCTGTTGCTGTTCTTGTTGGCGCGTGGGCGGCTGGGGTGGGTGGGTCTCGGTCGGTTGGTTGGCGCACTGCCATCCATAGGCAATTACATGTCATGTCGGCAAGTTTGGCATAAGGGGTCTTAAAGCAGTCGGTAGAGAGTACTCCCGATAGCATGTGGCCGATCAAAGCATTCTGGTTCGACATGTTTCGACTATGCTAGTCTGTACCAAGTCCGCAGATATTCTCAACTGATTCCGCGCGAGCCGCGTGTCCAAACCTAGCCAGCCTACCTGGGCCCAGGCGCACGCGACCTTCACGGGTACTTTCGCAGGCCTCCGGAGGCGACCGGGCCGGTCAGATTGACACTGTCTCTTGGTCGAGCGAATCCCATGCCCTCAAATCCACTGAGTGTCTCAAGATTTTTATTAATCCCCGGTCACCTGACGGTGACAGATCATTTTGTGGTCATGCCGCTTCGATATGAAAGCAATTAGCGCTAGACTCTAGACTCGCACTCTCTCTGACCTATGCGGTGCCGGTACAGAAACAGGCTGGGAGTCGCGCATGAGAATCGGCTTTCTTCGATCATGTGCGGTCAACAGTCCTGCAACAAGTGTGCGATGCACAGAGCATCGGCTCTTCTCAACGCAGAATCATCATCATAATCAAGGGCAGGTTGCTGCTCGCTTGCTTTATTCTCGCTTTGTTAAGATGTTAAATTGCGTTCTGATGCGAAAGCTTACTCCGAAAGATCCATGTTGGAGTGGTTTTGCCAGCTGGGTGTCCGCACTGTCAGGTCGAATGAGCAGTCTGTGCAGCATCAAAAGTCAGATTGAGCGTAATCGCATATTTTGTGTAGTTAGAGACAGGTAGTGAGTTTCACAGGAAAGTGCACGCAGCGACGTCTGGTCGGGTGCTCGATCATGAAATGCAGTGCAAAAGCAAAGTCCAGATAACGTCGAAGTCTTCAGGGAACAGAAGAGCGCAAGCACGCATATTCCTCTTCTTGGACAGCTTCAAGCGTAAGTCAGGTCGGTAAAAGAGCTACGGGACGGGCCTGTCAACATGATTTCTCAGCCAGGATGCAGCAGGAGTTCGCGCACGTGCAGCAGATGCTTGGCAGAGTTCGGCTTCAGACAACTGTAGCACAGTGCATACTGTTCACTGCTGGTGATGGGGCGGCTGTTGCCTGCATATGCCTGCATGTCGTTTCGTCTTTTCTATCAGTAGCGGTCTCAGCATGTCTCAGCCTTCCAGCGAGCTTGAAGTAGAATCTGAGGCGCCTGGGCTTACAAGATCCCGAGGAACAGGACCGTTCTGCACACAGTTGCAGGGAGAGCAAGCTTGGTCTGCGTCGCCTGTTGCATGGATCATGCACAGAATGCCTGGCTGGAGTGTGCAGTAGACCCCAAGCTGGGATTCCAGCCTCGTGATGTGATGGACTCTGATCGGTTTGTGCCTAGGAGGCGTACAGCACCATGACCATCGTCAGATGACGCCAGCTCCACGCAGCTCGGAACACTTCAGATGAAGGGTCGCCATCTGGTGTACGACAGGGTCAATGTCAAAGCAGATACTACAAGTACGGCTGACAAAAACGAGAAATCCTATCCGACAACGGTCGAGATCCAAACTGAGCACTTGGAGGGAGCAGCCCGAGCTGCTGTTAAAAAGGCGTTTGAAGTCTCAAGACCTCGCTGTCATCGTTACCTTTACTTCGCAGTAGTGCTTGCTCGGTCCAAGAAATGAGTGCTCAGGCCGCAATGTCGGAAACAGTGGGCGCAGAGTGGAAGCTGTTTTAACTTATGATTTAAGTTAGGTTTTGTGTAGAAGTTTGGCTTCAGCCAGCCTGAGGCAGCTGAAGCTTGTGGAGTTGCTGCCGAATTTCTGTGTAGTGGCTTATCGACCTGGTGTGCAAGCGGTCAACGACAATAGCTGCAATAGCTGCTGTTGCTGCTGTTCCTGCAGGACTATATCATGATGCAGCTTCGCAGGTGCACAGTGTTCTCTCGGCCCTTCCTTGCAGCAACTCCTCAGAATTGCTTCTCCGAGCACAGTGGTCTATCTCCCAAGGAGATTCTCCCTGTCATCACAACTTAAAGACTGGAGGAATCTTCAGCAGAAAAGAGCAAGCTGCCAGCATCCGCCAGGGGGATCCTGGTGCTTGACAGAATCGAGGCACTGAGACAGCACATGTTCCGTGATGTTCCGTGTATTCTGCAAGCTCTTTCGGCACCCTTCCGCATCCGAAACTGCTGCGGCTCCAAGCCTGAGTGCGGCGCGGCAGTCTTACGGCAGCAGGCTGGGGCCAGGGTTCCCTCTTGCAGTGTTCAGGTCTTGCCGAAGGCGCACGGGCGCGCGCTCGCATGCACTCGCCTCTGAGTTTTGAAGCGACGCTTTACTGATCTGGCACCTGGTAAGTAGGCAGGCTTCAGGTCGGTCCAGAGGACAGTTTTTTGGCTGGGTGGAGCCGACTGTCTCAGGGTCGGGGACGTACGCGATCCCTGCAGCGTGTTTTAGCCTTGACCTGGAGAGGCCGTGGTTGGTGGCAGATGCCGGCGGCCTTGGCTGAAGCTGCGTACATGATATACATGGAAGGTTTGCACCGCAAGACCTGGAGCCCGCCTTCTGAAATCATCAGCCATACCCAGAAGCCGCTGAAAAAGAGCAGAAGACTGCAAGGTCGGACCTCAGAGCTTGACTCATGCTGCGGCGGCTGCTTGGCCCTGCAGGAGCTGCAATGCTGAAGAAGCGGGGTCTAGAGCAAGAGAAGCTTTGCAAGCTCTTTTGACGTGACTGGGCTGCCATTGCTTACTACATCGTATCGCTTTCTTCCACATCGTGCTGCCTTTGTCACTTGCGTTCCGTAGGCCTCGTTCAACCGCTGGCGGAAACCGTGTGCTGGCCATCCCGAAAGATTTCCACCTTCATGGGATCTTGACGAACAGGATGCTGCTTGCATGTAGCCTGGGCAGCGGCTGCAGTACAGTGCAGCGAGCTGGCCGAAGAGGTGCGGGCAAGTCTTTGCCGCTAGAGCGCTAGAGAGCACAGTGTGCACAGGTTGAGTCCCTAAACAGCTGAAGTGCTGGCTCTGCCGTTGCCAGCGGCGCTGCGCTTGCATGGAGAGGGTAGTGAAGTCACACTGTGGATCTGAGGATGCCTGCTCCGCGATGCAAACGCGGAGGGGCGAACCGGAGAGGCCCGACGAGACACATTTGGAGTCGGCATAGTCGGTATACAGGCACATACAGGCACCTCAACTGATATGGTGAGTGATGCTCGACTGACGTTTGCAGTCGCTTACATGGTTACATTGCTGTGTTCAAGTTGTGATCCATATGCACTTGCAGGCACCCTCGAGTGGAAACAACAGCCATCAAGGCAGAAGCCCTGGATAGGCACGGGCTCCGCATAAACTGGGCATGGGGGGTGTCTCAAAGACTTATTCCAGAGGGGGGCGGTGAGGTGACGGATAATTTTCACGGAATAGTTATATATAATATTTAATCTTCCGCGCATGTTGTCAAGAGGGTGGAGGGGCGGTGCGGAATGATATTCAGAACCGGTCATCTTGCAACCCGGGTCCGGAAAGCGGCAACCCGGGTCCGAATTGGACCCAAGTTGCCTTTGGGTTGTCACAGATCGCCCTGAATCGATGCCTGCCTTGAACCATATCACTTGAGCGCCGGGCTGTCAGATGCTGGTGTTGGTTCAGGGTTTAGGGTTTCTGGGTATTGGGTTTCTGAGTTTAGGGTTTCTGGATTCGAGGCTTCTGGGCTCAGGGAATTTGGGTTTCCGAGTTTAGGGCTTCTGGATTTAGGGTTTCCTGGTTCAGGGTTTCTGGTCCAGGGTTTCTGGGTATTAGGTTTCCGGGTTCAGGGTTTCTGGGCTTGGGGTTTCAGGGTTTTTGGGTTCAGGGTTTCCGGGTTCAGGGTTTCTGGGTTTGGGGTTGGTTTAGGGTTTCTGGGGTTTGGAGTTTAGGGTTCTAAGGTTTCCTGGTTCAGGGTTTCTGGGTATTAGGTTTCCGGGTTCAGGGTGTCTGGGCTTGGGGTTTCAGGGTTTCTGGGTTTTGGGTTTTCGGGTTCAGGGTTTCTGGGCTTAGAGGCTTATGGTTTCTGGGTCCTTATGGGACCAAGGTCCACCCGGGTCCGGGTTGCTGAAAATTATTCCGAAGGTGCCCCACATCATGGAATAACTGTCCGACCCCGCCCTCCCGGAATAAATATTTGATTATTCCGAGTCCCTCCCGTCATGACCCCCCCACGAACGCACCCCCACAACTGGGCGTTCGAACGGTGCTCCATGTTAAGCTTCTTTCGCAGCAGATTGGGTTTCCAGCTCGGAATCGAAGTCTGAAACACAGCCCTTGCCAGGCTAGTTGAAAGACACGACCATGCAAGCAACGCCTTCGGGGTGAAGGCAGGCCGAACTGGGGTTCTGCATAAAGTCCGCGCCCCAGTTCCGAGTGGTGAGTTAGTGCAAGGCATGTAGGTTTACGACGGCTTACCAGTGTCGCGAGCCATGGGTCGGTTGGTTTTGAAGTGACTTGGCCTAGCTCTGGCCCATGATTCGAGTGCCAGAAGATCTGATATGCCTAAATGTCCCACTACGGTTTGTTTGGCTCTGTCCCTTCGCTGCGTAGCCGGGTCAAGCTGCTTCCGCAATGCATTACCATGCATAGCTTCCGAGATTCCGAGGTACAGGTCGTTGAGGCATGGATTGAAAGCAGACCGTGCTGTGCCCAGATTCTCCCTGGCGTTCCTTGCTGAAGCTGTTGCTATAGTTGCTCTAGGGAAGCAGAGCCACCGGCCAATCTTTCCGCCGCCCAGGCCAGAGGTCAAAACGCTTATCAAAGCAGTGCCACTTATCTGAATCGGACATGCTCACGAGGTGGATTACACGAATCTTGAACGGGGTGCAGTGCCTGCAGGTTTGTTTCCTGGGTGGTTGCCGGGATCTGTGGTGCTCAGCTCGGATGATTTCTTGCGTTTGCTCTTCGAAGGCATGAAGAAACCATGCCCCTGCCATTCTTCAGGCCTTGTTGGGATGTCTTGGGGGATTGTCCCTCGGCAGCAATTCTGTTCCGCTGCCCTTTGGGCTCTGTACGACTGCTCGAAGATACTCCGCAGGGAAGTCGCCAGCCAAGGTGAGATGGCAGCCACCGAGCCACAAGCTCGGTGACCGCGCATTGACAGACTTCACATCTCTGGCTGATGTCTGAATGTTGAACATTGGCGCGAGTTTTGCCAAACAGGTCAACGTGGGTTCTTGTCGGTGCCATTGTGGCTTCACAGTTGTGCTCGATGAGGCAAATACATCTCTTGGCAAGTCCTGAACGAGGGAGGGGCCGCTCAGCTGCCAGTGGCACTGCAGTCTTCGGCAGGACTTGAAAATCAAACCATGATAGTGAGATGCTCCTGGTCATGCTCCGGACACCTTGATGACGATGTGGTGCTAGGCTGGTGGGGGTCTTTGCGCCATTCCGGCCACCATCTTGCTGGCTATTTTGCCGCATGCTCAGTCACTGGATGTGATGTGTCTATGTCCAGGGAAGGGGAGTTGCCTTGTGTCCGGTCCCTCTTTGGATGTCGGTGGTAGCTGCTCCCAAAAGCGAGACATCCATACAACGCAACCTGTCTTTTGAGGAGCATCCCCTCGCGGGTGATGTGCTTGAGCCTGGAGGTTCGGAGGACACTCTGTGCGAGGATCTCAGGTACTTGCTTCAGGGGCGGCATACGGTGAGGCGACCTTTGTATCCCATTATCCGATTTAGATCAGGCCTCCACACAACCTGACTCTGTGTCGTCAGGGGCATGAAGTCATCGTCAAGTCTAGTGAACGGTGCCCTGGACATGGTCGGAGTTTGTCCGTCACGATATCCAACGTCGTGAAGACATCGCCTGCAAATTGCACTGAGGGTATCTTGATTTTCTACGGGGTCATCTTCGCCATCATGTGGAATGCAGGGCTGATTCAACCTGCCCGGGACTTGAGATCCACGACTCTGTTTGCAGAGCATGATTCTGGAGAGCCTGAAGCATGCTTTCAGGGGTTAGAACCCAAGAAAGGCCAGTCGCTCATGCCATTTTTCTGCTGTCCGCCAGCTGTTCAGCAAACTGCTTCTTGACCATCCTATTATCCTATTCGTGGTTCGGACCGTTTCGAGGTCCTGAATCAGATTGCCTCCTACGTCTACATCTTGGCCTTTGCGGGTTCTCTGATTGTTGTGGTTCTGTTGGAACTGGTGGAACATGCCGGGGGCCTCAGGGGTCCAAGTCGAAGCGGGCTTAGGGCTCTGGGTCGACGAAGGCGCTCTTTGAATGTTGAACCAATCCTCAGAGACCACGTAATGGCTTCCGGACTTGGGCGTTTTGGGCTTTTGCGTGGCAGGTACTTTCGGAAAAGCGACAGACCCATAGCGCAGAGCCACAGCATCCGATGTGCTTCGATCACTGAGGCACGCTACCATTTCAGTGGCCCTTTCATGGCATTGCAGAGGCCATGCAGCTTTCGATGACGCGCTCTGTTTATACGTAGTAGCTATACAGCACAGTCCGTACGACGTACAAGAAAGTGCAATAGCAGTAATAGATGTGTATGTCTGTGCATGCACGTGTATATGTATACATATATATATATACTATTATATACTCACACATTTACGACATGATGCTCATTAGATCCCGTTGTTGCAGCTTCGACATGTGCAGATGGTCTGAACGCTATACTGATCCTCATGGCAAGTAGTAGTGCTAGTCATCAGGTATCAAGATGATGCAGGACCAGCGGTCGTGTGCCAGCGCGGCGCATACATGGTACAGGGTCGTAGGCACACATATACTCTAGCTGCCTTCGCGGGTGTGAGTCTGTTAAGTCCAAAAAGAGATCAATCCTTCCGTGCGCATCGGAAACCCGAAGAGGAGAAAGGGACACAAAGCCCTGGAAAGCAACTAATTCATTGCCGGTACTACTGCCGGGTGCGCCCAGAGGCGGAGCGAGGCAAAGCTGTTATGCAGCACGAGTTTATGCTCTTAAAACACCGAGTGAGCTTGGCTTAGGGGGCTGGACTGAAGATCTTCGGCCCATTCTAGATATTTCTGGATGAAATGGGTCAACATCCACAGAAATGCAGGCTCTTGGCAGACAGATTGGAAAACAGTTCGATGACTAATGATGTATATGGACGCAGGCGAGCGACGGCACACACACATATATATATATATATATATGTATATATATACACACATGTATACATCTATTGCTATATGGCTCTGTATATGTATGTATGTATGTATGTATGTATGTATCTATCTATGTATGTATGTATCTATGTATGTATGTATGTATGTATGTATGTATGTAAAATATGTATACATATACCTTATATATATATATAAAATATTTATGTGCTCTGAGTCTTGGACAGGGCATACTCTTACGGAGACAGGGGCCAAGCAACCTTCAAGCGGATGCGCAGCGTGCCATACTGCAACCTGATCGTGCTGTGGTGTGGCTTTTGTTCTTGCTTGTCGTTGTAGCTGCGACTGCTGAGATAAGCAGCACTTCTGGCTTTGTGAACTGCAGACTGGCAGGATGCAACAGCAGTTTACTCACTTGGAAACGTGGCCTGGCTGCATGCTGCTGCGCCGTGGAGTGGGATCATAGGCAGGTGACAGGGCTGATGGCATGATCCCCTTGGCATCATGGTTTATCAGGGTTAGCAGGGCTCTGCTTGTCACGAAGCTTTTTCCGTTGGGCCCGAGGAAACTCGGGATTATCCCGACGCCTACAGAGGACTGCTGATATCAGTGCAAGCCGCGAGGGTGTGCACTGACCAAGCCCATCGCCACCATGGCATCCGCCAGCATCGGAGGTCTGAATCCGAGATATGAGCCTGGACTGTTTTGCCAGGACGACACAGCCACCGCTGCCACCGTCACCCAATGAGATTGAGTCCTGTCCTCCTCGTCTCGAAGCCTGTGCAGGAGTGGTGGACAAAATCTATCGATACTGTAGATTCTAGAATCTAGACACTAGAGGTGCATCATGAAGCAGGAGCAAGTCGAAGTGCCAACGCCCAGGTCTGTCAATCGATGTACTCCTAGGAAACCAACGGCCGGTGCGATGTAGTTTGTACCTTCGACTAGCAGTGTCAAGACCTTCAGTTCAAACGGGGGGACTGTAAAGACTGGCAAGGCTTGAGCTACTGTATAGGCTGTATGCCGTGCTTTGATTTCAGTGGGACGGAAGTGTATACTGCGATGCTCTTGCTTGAGCAAAAGTTCCCAATGTGTTCACTGTTCCCAGAGTGATTCCGCAGGCAGATTCTGGAGGCCTGGATGAGGCAGAAAGCAAGGAGAGCTTGTTCAGCTCTTGTTTGTTGACTTCTTTGGTGTGTTAGTGTATTGCCACATGGAGTTTTGTTGTTTAGGCTTAGCCGAGAGGAAGGTGTTCTCACGGCTGGGGTGGCTTAGCCCCAGCATTGACAACAACTAGACGTGTGGCACGTTAGACCTCGAGTTACCTCCAAAGGGAGTTGTTTCAGAAGTGCCTGCGGTTCAAAGCGACCGCGCCAAAATCAGTGGCTGAAAGCATCCAGCCCATCTTCGCATGCAAAGGGCCGGAGATTCAAGCCATTGTGACTTGTAATCAGAGGTTAGAGAGAAAGCAGGAGAGATGCCCAGAGCGCCGCAGGGCTCAAGCAGAAGCAGCCCTCGCAGCAGATGACATGCGACCCGCAGGACAGTTTTGTGGAATCTTGAACCCTGAAGGGAAGATGCCGTCTGTAGCCTGAAAAAGGCTGATCAGTTGTCAAACACCACAACAGATCCTTGTGCCCCCGATTATCAGCTAGGCAGACACAGTGGCTTGTGGACGTTCGAAGACCTGCTCGCATGCACGTGCCATGCAAGCAGCCGGGCTTTCTGAGACCCTGGAGGGCACGGCGGTGCCGGGATTTGTTACATGTTTTTGTACGGCTGGACATAGTTGAACAGCGCTGCATTTTCTATTGGTGTCGAGCTTCCAGAACACTGGTTGCGGGCAGGTGCTCTTCAATGAGAACCTGCCTCACTTGGCATCGACACTGGAATCTAGCTTGCTGGAGCATATTGCAGTCGGCACGCACGGTTGCTGAGCTGCAGGTGGAACAAACATCACGAAAAATGCCGCTTAAATCCTCAAGTCATTGACAAACAGAAACTGTGTTCACGATCCAAGGCCAGGTTTGCTGGTCGGACGGCTCTATCGGCTCAGACACTGGTCACGCATCGGGTATGCAAGCTTCCTTGACTTCCCGGCTTCGACGTCGCTAGTCGGTTGGGTCATTTATGTCCGCTGTCCTGCTGAGCG